GCTTACAATAAATATATGAAAAATCTAGTTTATTTTATTTTAATTCATCATAATATTATATTTACAAAACTGTAATAAAAACAACATTTTAACGCTTCTTCCAAGTAAACTTCCTTCTAGCTCTGGCTTGACCTGGCTTTTTCCTTTCTCTTCTCCTGTAGTCTTTTTGCAATAGACCCGCTAGAAAAACAAATAAAATATTGTATTAACAAATAAAACATTTTATAATACCAGAATATATTTACCAATTCGCATGCGTTCTACTGTTTCAGGATCCACAAAAGATCGCAAACTCCAAGAAATACCGAAACGAATTGCACCGGCTTTACCTGAAACTCCTCCACCTTTGACTGTTGCATGAATATCGACTTTGTCAACCATGTCCGTAAATAATAACGGGAACAATATCTAAAAATTAAAACATAAAATGAAATTGATATTATAGTGCATACAATATTATAAAAAATACTGTAGTTCAAAAATAAAAAGTAATATGTTAAGATCATTACTATATAGGTAATATAAATTATTAAAAATGTTTAAAAAATTGCCACATATCAAAAAGCTCATAATACTTAATAATTAAAATTTAGTTTTAACAAAATTATCTTCTTATTCGTTGTATAATCAAAAATTTAATATTTTGTTCTTTCCTATGATAGAAAAAAAACTTAACCTATGACCTATAATATGGAAGGGTCGAATCTATAAGTTTCGACATACCAGGTAAAGGTATTCAATAAAAAAAAAAAAATAGATGAAAAAATTCCTATCCGAATAAAATACGAGGCGGATATTTAAATTAAATATTCTTACATTGAAAGATACAGAGGGAAATAAACATGCTTAGTCCCATTTTATTCTTTAAAAGTACATTTATATTCAAATTATAATTTTTGGAATTCAAAGCACATTTAAAGACTATGTTTTAAGATACTTAAAACATCCTGTGGCGATATAAACTAATTTTTCAAATGAGAATTGCCATTAAAAAAAGTAGTTGAAGAAGTTCATGTCAAAAAAAAAAATAAAATTGTATTATCACAAGATAATCCTTAAACTTCATACAAGATCAAAGAAATTTAAAAAAATGGTTCTCAAATGGATATATTTTAAAAATTCGAAAATAAAAACTTGAAAAAATGTATAATAACAAGGAAAAATTGAAATGAGCATACGTATTTAATAGATCAGTATATTATTACGAAACAAGATAATTGATTGTGTTGAAAACTCTAAAAATTGGAAATCCTTGTCCTTCAAAAATACTTGTAAAAAACCACACTGGTTTTACAGAGTAAATCATTCTCGACACACTTATACATAGTGTTTAAACTCACATAAATATTAAATGAAATATATATTTTATAATCATAATATTTATTCGTAAGTAAAACTACATTATACTTTTTTTATTTCATAATTGAGGTAAATTTTACTAACTCTTCTTAATTTTTGTAAATTCGTAAAATAATACAAATTTTAATTAAAAAAAATACTTAAGAACGGTGTGAATAGGTAAGTAAGATCGTGGTATAAATATATTGAAATTAGTGTTAATACTTTTTAAATTTAATTGCACATAGAAATTTATAATTTAGATAAGAGTAGAATGTTTCGAGATCTAAAGAATATTAATTTTTTACTTAGGCTTAATTCTAGACCAACGTCTAATCTAGCCAAATAATTTTAAAAATAAAAGAATTATCTTAAATGCTAGGTGGAAATGTCTCTCCTACTTACTTGGCAAACATTCCAATCTTGGCATAAAAACTAAACTAATCCTTAATAAAACTCAACTGATGCCTATCTGGACATACGGCATCTAGCTATGAGGGCAGCAAAAAAAAAATCATATATATACAACATTTAAACCTTTAATCTATAGATCTTCGCATAATTACAAATGCTTAATTCTATGTTTCAAATCACACTTTTTATTTCGATTTATGAATTAACACAGTAAATGAAACTGCAAAAATATTGTATAAACGATTCCGCTCACAACTAACTATAACCACCTAAATCTCCGAATTTCAGGGTTTAATTCTGATGCCATTCCTGGTAATCTTCTTTGAAAGATAAAAATAAGGTGATGTCGAGATCTAAACCACAATTAAAAATTATAAAAAAAAATGTTAAACAAAGTTTTATGTAAAGTGTCATCATTGCGTGGCTTCTTTTTTTCACGCGTCTCATGTCAAAAATATTAACACACATGCTTATAGTAAATTAAATATTACAAATGTTTATTTTAAAATAATGAAAAAATTAAAATTAAAAAAAATTAATAAAAATTTAAAATAATAATATTTTAATAATAACAAAATATCAAAAATCGTTATTTTAGGTTGGAACAATCGAATTTGATTGAATTTTAAGCTTAAATGCTCATAAATTACTGTAGCTTTGTGTTAAATGTTTTTATAATTATTATTATTATTATTAAATCAAAAATAACATAACTAAGTAGAATTTTGTATGTAATGTTGAATCCTTAAATATAAAAATTAAAAATGTCATGGATTTTTAACTATAGCAAAGAAATTTGCAAATATTCGTAATTTTGACGAATTTCAAAAGAAGTGTTAAAGAACATTGTGAATGTAACCGGAAACTTCATAATATAAAAAATACAAGTGTTGAATGATAAACAATAATAATAATCATGACAATATATACAACCTCCATATTTCAACGTAATTTCCGGAATACTCATTATTGAATAATTTTCAGATGTTTGTAAAATAAATCGGTAACAAAACACCGATTAATCCTCTGATATAAATTTCACAGTTATATCTATTTACCAATTTGTTTAAGTTATTTATCATATTTGCAGCTCCAAAGATTGTTAATTTACTTAAACACATATCAAATCAGACAGGTTATATTATGGTCGATCTGGACATCGCACACATTTTATATAATATTAATTATAAATTTCATGACACGACTGCGCGAGTCAAGGAATAAGTACGCGGTTAAAATCAACGATTAATTCAGAGAATGCGAGACGCAAAAATTAAAAATTAATCGATTATTGGTACCTATATAGTCGCATACAGGGGATTCATTTATTAACGTATGTACCGTATAATACGCGTTGAATAGCAACAGTCGACCTTGACTTTGATTGTTAAAAACCAACAGGCTTACGTGCAAGGAATGTATTGCTATGGTACAGAATATAATATAATACTACAACGTTGCATAAAAACAATCGTGTGGATAAATTTTTTTTTATAATAATAATAATAATAATAATAATAATAGTTTAGACCATACAAAATCACGTTAGTATATTAATAATTATGATATACCTACTTAACGTATTAAGCGTTGAACCCTATTTAACCTACGCCGAAGCTCGTCGTATAACGTGTACATCGTAACAATGTAAAAATACGGTATTTTATACCTTACGTTATACGCGTATTCAACTTAATATTATATCGTGCATGTTAAACTACGAGTAGGTATGGTAAATTTATTTTTTATGTTATACACGTCATTTTATACAACATCTAACCTTATACTCGTAATATTCAAAATTATTTTATTTTAAAAACTATGGATATTATACTAACATTGCTCATATAAATGGAAATGCATTTATCACTGATAAAAATATTTCAAATTAACAAAAAAAGTCGATGAATGATAATTTTCTATCAATTTATAGATAAATATTAATAAATTAGAACCAACGACTAAAAAATAAAAACTTTAATAAACATAATCCAAAATGCTTGTGGTTTTTTTTTCATTCTGTGGATATACCAACAAAAAAAAATAATAATAATAACAATTAGAGCGCGGATATTAATGCAATTGCATATTATTTTCCTTTTACTTTTTTGGATTTTTGTTAGTTATCTTCACGAATTATAATAATTTGAAACTAATGGTGAATTTTTATTTTCATATTTCTGCATATTAATTGTTATTGCATATTTTTACAAAATTCGAAATGTGTTGCATGTTAAAGCAAAAATTTAAAAATAATTTTGTCAGCATTAAATAATAACCGGAGCGCGAATTTATATGCAATCGCTTATTATTTTCTTTTTCACTTTTTTAGGTTTTTTTTTTTTTAAGTTATCTTCACGAATCATAATAATTTGAATCTAATGGTGAAATTTATTTGTATATTTCTGTATATTTTTATAAAACTCGAAATATATTGCATATTAAAACGAAATTTCTTTATATACTTAGTTTATTTAAGTAATTAATTATTGTAAATTGTTTAATTTGTAAATTTTATATAAATAAAAAAAAATTTCTCGCATATTTTTATGATTTTTACTGAATATTATATGGCATATTTCGATACTTTTTTGGTGCATCTAATGTCATCCGTACTCTAATAATGATAAATAAGTAAACAAATAAAATAAAATGTTTAAATATTTCACCGTTGTACGAAATAATTCTATACGCCTATACACGGCCGAATTATGCGTATATATAATAAATAACGTTTGATACGAATTATTACACAATAATAATAATAATAATATTATGTAAAACAAAAAACTTAAATTAATAACAATAACAGTATGACGCGTAAATGAGCATAATATGTATTTAAATAATATGTTATCATACTGAGGTAGCTGCAGCAGTGCAGGAGACGCAGTCACGGTGCAGGATTCGCGCGTTACCCCGGTCACAAGAACACCGCCACGCGCATGATATATTATTATAATATTATAATAATAATAATATTATTATTTCGGTATTATAATAACAATAATTAATATTAAAAAAAATAATAAACAGCGACGAATAAAAACACCATAACAAATCGTACGAAACGGAGCGGAGCGGCGGGCGCGCGCGCGTGTATCTGGCCGACGGGATCGGGGAGGGGGGGCATAGAGGGAGATACGATCGCGTACCTACATAGTTCCGATAGCGGCCACGCTGTTGGCGTCCGTAGCACCGCGCGAGAGAGGCCACCGACCGAATATAATACCGTGCCGCCACCGCCGCGCACCGGACATTGGCGAGCGTGTCGTCGAAGAAGCCGAACGACGCGCGCGGGAACCCGCTGCACCGCAGCAACGGCGGCCGACTAAAAAACGCGCACGGAACGACCGTCGGGCCCGTGTCTTCCGACATCCGGTTCGCGAATTATTTTATCGTTCCGCACCGGAACGGTATACGCATTCGACCCGCACCGTCACCATGACCGGCAGGCATCACCTAGAAGTGGCTGTGCCGCTGGACAGGACCATCAGCCTGAACGTGCACAATCGGCACGGCGGCGCGGCGGCGGCATCGGCGACGGTGGCGACGTCCCGGTCCCCGTCGTCGCTCAAGGACCGGTGGTACAGCTTTCGGCACCGGCCGGGCGGCGGCGGCGGAGGCGACCAGAGGCGGCGGTCCAACGTCGAAGAGTTCTTGTTCATGGAGAGCCTGCCAGACGCGCCGGCCGCCGGTGGTCAGCCGTCCGCGGCCGGACAAGAAATCGAACTGTCCATAACCATACGGAAGGACACCATTAGACGCGACCTGATGGACTCGATGCGCACGTGCAACGGGCGGTTGCAGCTCATGGAGCTCGTGGAGCTCGACGAGTTCGATCCGGGCAGCGTGCATCCGTCACCCAACCAGAGCGAGCTGGACAGGCTGTTCTGCTGGGCCGTTTACATCGGAGCGCCGGCCGAGTGCTTGGACACGCTGCACGAGTGCGGCGCCAACTTGCACTATTCGCATTGCGGCAGCATCACGGCCGTACATTTGGCGGCCTTTATGGGAAACGCCGACGCGCTCAGGTACACGATATATTTTTATTATCCATAGCTTTCGGTCGTAATATATATATATATATTAAAGGAGATGCACTTTTTTTCGCCCTAGAGTAGTTTTCGATAAGACGTAAAAAAAAAAAGGGAGATTTGGCTTCTGCCCGTATAGAAATATGTAGATACCTAATCGTTTTAAACGACAAAAACATTTTGATTTTCAATCAATACATTATAAATTATAATACATAAAAGAGTTGTATGATCTCATACCACACAGCTAACCTGGTTTATATTGCAGTATTGTGCGATCCTAAATCCGTTTAATTCTCAGAATTTTGATTTATTCTCGAACAACTTAACTTTGTTTTTACATTTCGTAAGCTTTTCATTATAACGTACATTATTACAATAATTTTAAAATATTTAATAATTTTTTTATGCGATTTATTATACAAATCTGTTAACATAATTTTAAGGTATCGAACCTAACCACATTGATATATTGACTTAAAGTCATACGTTCATAGCAATATTATATGATTTATACGCAATAATTTTGTCAACAATTAATTCAAATTCGACCTACTAATGGAAAATAAATTACCTATAAAATAATAACATAATAATATAATTACCTATTTATTTATTAATATAAATTATTATAAAATATTCTTAGTTATAGATTGACACACATCGTTTTTCGTATACGATAATTTGTTAAATTTATACTTAACTACCTACTCGTCCTACTCCAAAGGTATTCTAAAAATCTACTACATAGTAAAACATGTTCTTTGTTAAAAAAAAATATATATATATTTGAGGTATGCTATAAATATTTATCATGAAATGTAAAAGAGATAACCAATCAATTATAGAAATGACATTTGAACAACGTGTTTATGAAAACATTTATCTATACAATCTGTCAACACGCCATGGAAATAAGTTATAGTTTACATAATATCGTTAAAATATTTTGGCAAGTTCTTTTTAATAATTAAATATAGACATAAAGTATATTAGTCTATTAATAAAAAATCCAGTGTAAGTACTAGTAATTAATGTTTTATAGTATGTATCCAATATCCATAGTATAGGTTAGCCATTTGTCCTAAATTTGACGAAACACTACTGTTTTCAGTACACAAGTGCCAATATATTTTAAATGTCAGTTAGGGCGTGAAAAAATACCGATTTCTAAAAATTAGTCGCATATAATAATAAATTAGTGTATACCGGCTATAATTAACAATTAAAATTATAAACGATTTAAAGCTATGTCAGTGATTTAAATAATCAGCTAATTTATGAAAATAATTTGAATTATTGAAAAACCATAATCATTGTATTATTATTGCAATTAATATTATAAAGTAGGTAGATTATAAATTATAATAGATTTGTCTTTGGTGAATCTATAAGATTATTTTTTCTTTATAATATTTTAAAATTATTTGATTTTTATAAAATAATTGTTTATGATAAATATAATCCCTACATAAATGACCAATCTAACTAAATTCCAAATACAAAATAAATACAATAGTAGATTAAAAATGTTAATATTATTATAAAAGTTTTAAAGTAAATTTTTAAAATTAAAATGTTATGTGTGTAAATATACATAAATAAATATTTTTTTAGATAAGTATGTTGGATAAAAAATGATTTGATCAATGTATAAGTATTCCCTAACAAAATAAAGTTTATGTACCATGACCAAAATTTTATGAATTCTAATTTAATAGACAGGTGTTCCGTTTGTCAATTATTATCCTGTGTAATATATACACCAGCCTCTGCATATATAATCCATAATATCATTTTATAATTATCATATTTTCAACATCAGTCTATTGTAAAATGTAGAACTTATCAAAAAAATTAGTCAATAAAAATCACCAACTTATATATTCCAAAAAATAAATAAAACTATTTAATAACCAAGATTCAATCAACTGAGATTCTGCTCTTACCTTTAAGTATTTCATAGACTAATAAAAATTGCATAGATAACATTGTAAAGCTTATATGTTCATTGTTAAACTCAAAGTTAAAAATTAATATTTAAATTAAATATTAAAAAACATAACTATGCTCAAAATCTAAAATCATATTTTACTTACAGGTGGCTCATAAAAAAAAAATGTGACATAGACACAATTCAAAGTGGATATACACCATTACATTCTGCTGTTATGGGCAATGCTTTAGAAACTACAAAAATTCTGATAGACCAGAGATGTAAGGTAACTGACACAGTATTACACTGTGCAGTACAAGCCAATTCTGTCGAATGTGTCAAGTACTTACTAAACATTGGTATAGATCCCAACTCTTTGGATACTAATGGAAATACACCCCTTCATTTAGCAGCAGACAAAGGATATACAGAATGTTTAAAACTTCTTTTAGCTAAAAGTAATAAAACAATAAATTTAAAATCTAAATCTAGACAATCGACGGCCTTACATATGGCGGCTGAAAATGGATATACAGAATGTGTTCAAATACTACTACATTCAGGATCTAGTCATACTGCAGTAAACAATAAAAATCAAACTGCTTTACACCTAGCTGCCAAAGCTCAATGCGCTGAATCTGTAGTTATATTATTAGAATTAGGAGCCGAAGTGAATGCTTTAGATTTAGATAAAAGAACAGCTTTGCATTCCGCTGTTTGTAAAGCTTTTTTGTCATTCCACGTGGTTGAAGTGTTGGTAAAATGGGGAGCAAATGTCAATATTAAAGATAGATATGGGTATGCACCACTTCATATAGCTGCATTAAATGAATTATCCCAATGTGTTGATTTCTTAATCATAAAAGGAGCTGACATAAGTTCTAGAACAGTAGGCGGAATGAGTGCCTTAAGCATAATAAACAGAAAAACACCCACAAGTATAAATACAATTAAAAAAAAATTTGACCAAGCAATTACATTAAACGACCAAGCTTCTGCCAAAGAAGTTGAACTAATAATGGATTTTCGATACTTATTACAAAATCCTAGTCAAGGAGAAATAATTTTATTACACACATTGGAAGAATGTGGTCAAAAGTCTATGCTTGAACATCCATTATGTAAAGCATTTTTATACTTGAAATGGCAAAAAATTCGTAGATTTTATTTTGTTCGTCTAGTTTTTGATGCAATTTTTGTTTTACTCTTAACCTCTTATGTAATGACAGCTTTAGCACATGACTGTTATAATAAGTCAAAAAATATCACAGACGACCAAGAAATATCTAATAGTCAAGAACTAAATGAATCAGAAACTCAAAATGCCTGTCGTCTGAACATGAATGTGTTCGATTCAAAATTAATAACACACATAGTTATAGAATTTGTTTGGTATATATTGTTGGTATTTACGATTATCATAATAATCAGAAAATTAATTGGAACAACAGGATTTACTTCAGTCAAACAATATTTTTTAAACATCACTAACATTGTTGAATGGTTTGTGGTGGCAAGTGTTTTTTTAACATCCTTTTTATATGGAAATAAAACATATGACTGGCAAAACCCTATTGGAGCATTTGCTGTTTTATTTGGATGGTCAAATTTAATGGTGATGATTGGCCAGTTACCTATATTTGGAACATATATTGCTATGTTTACCAAAGTTCAAAAGGAATTTGCTAAATTATTGCTAGCTTATTCGTGCTTGCTTATAGGATTTACAATAAGTTTTTGCACACTATTCCCTACATCAAATGATTTCAATAATCCTTTAATAGGTATAGCAAAAGTGTTAGTAATGATGACGGGGGAACTTGACATAGATTTGTTGTTGAAATCTGAAGAATCTCCAATAATTTTTAACATAAGTGCTTATATAACTTTTATATTGTTTATTGTATTTGTTACTGTTGTATTAATGAATTTACTAGTTGGAATAGCAGTTCATGATATCCAAGGTTTGCACAAAACTGCAGATTTATCAAAACTTGTAAGACAAACTCAGCTAATTCACTCTCAAGAACAAGCATTATTTCAAGGTTGTTTACCTAGACGCGTAATCAATTTTTTTAATTGGAGTGCAAGAGTTACACCATCAGCATATAGAGTGGTACTTTATGTAAAACCATTAAATCCTACAGAAAAAAGATTACCAAAATACATAATGGAAGATGCATTGAATATAGCAAGACAACAACGATTAAATACAGTTGACTATAAGCAAGCTATGTTAGAAAATAAAATGGAAAATAAGGCTTTAGTCGAAGAAATTAAACATCTAAAAGAAATTGTACAAAATCAACAAGATCTCTTATTACAACTTATAAACAAATCTTCATAAATATTCCTAGTCTAAATTTGTATTTGTTAATGAAATTTAACTATTATATTATGTACTATGTTACAACTTACATTTAAATATTATGTATTGATGTGTTGATAAAAGTATTTTAAAATATAACTTCATTATAATACTGAAGGGTAAAATGATCTTGTTATATTTGTCAAGAAAAATTACTTGATAATAAATCTTTACATGTCAAAAAAAAAAAAGGATTATTTTGATATATAAGGGTCATATTTTTATTCTCCTATGACATTTTCTCTTAACTCAAAACAATGCAATATGTCAATAGTTATTTATAGATAAATTGAGGTAATATTGATTTTACAATAAAATAATGTAATACGTAAATTAAATAACTTTTCTGTTCTCCTTTTACTAGTTAATAAACACTTGTGTCTTATTAAACATGTCTAAAATATAAAACTTAATTATCATTATAAATTATATTCTAATCATGCACACATCAGCAATTTCTTTTCAATAAGGACATATTATTTAAAATTTGTGAATACCACATTGTGAGTTTGAATTCTTAGTATTTGACGTTTATACATTATTTATAAAGTTAATATAAACAAAAAATAAGCCAGATCTTAGATTTATAGGATTTTGTCGGTAAAAATAAATTATATGCAATGTGTTTTTGACTACTGGTAAATAAACTAATTCCAAACACTTGGTGGTTCTTAAAAACAAATAGAAATGTCTGTTATTTATCCAATTAAATAAAATATACATACATGTATATAAGTATATTTTTTATATTTATACTTTTATAAATAGTAGATAAATAATCAAGAAAAATATTTGAGTTGTATTTAAATACCAAAAATGTAAGTAATTAAACTTAACTCAATCAGCTACATTTCCTATTAAATATATAACAATATACATTATTTCTCTTTTGTTATTTGATTTAATACACTTTTTAACGTTGACTTAAATTTTATTAGACAGCAAAATAACTGATATTCAAAATATGAATGATTGTATTAAATTAAATTAGACAATTTACCTGTTCTCTGGCTTGAATATCATCAAAAAATTCAATTCCTTTTCCATTTATTGATAGCTTGCCAGTTCCTGGATAATAAACTGTAACATCAGCTCTAGCATCCTTCCTTGGACAATCTAAAAATAAAAAATAAACATTTTAATGATTATACTACATAATATTTGTTAACTAATTACCCTTAACAGTAACATAGGCTCTTCCATCTTTTGTGTATTCAACCTTAAAATAAATTTTAACAATCATTAAATATGTTTAAGGTACATAAAAAATAAAATAATTACCGGTGCTGATTCAATGATAGCCTTAGTAGATATCATTGGTTTTTGATAATTAGAAATGAATTCCACAGATTTATACGAACATGGATGTTTTAACAAACGCTCAATTGCAATCACAAAATTTTTGTACTAAAATAGACGAAAACTATATAAATATACATGGTTTAAAAAATAAATAACAGTTTAATTTATTTAAAATTACACAATCACAATAAAATACTGGTTTTATACATTATACTAATTACTTTCTAACATACCATTTGCAAAATAATCTCAATAATTTTTTTATTCTTTTATTTAATAAATAATTGAAACCAAGCAGACCAATGACCGGGATGTTGAAAATTCAACTTTTTTTTTACTAATATTATATTTAAGTATTATATTTAAAGTTTATATTTGTATTAATGGTTAAAGTAATATAGTTATTTATTTTTAAAAAATAATTAGAACTGTGATTGATATCAAGTTATACTAAATAAATAACCTCTGGAATAAAATATAAAATAGATAATTTAAAATAGGTGACTATGGAAAGAATATAATAAATCATTAAAGTAGGTTATATTATTTGACATGTAATTTTAAATACAATTTGTATCTATTAAATCTCATTCATAATATTCAATTCATTTTTACTACAAAATAATTGATTTATTTATCATCATAATTAATATTTTTTCTCTAAGTATTTATTATCAAATGCATCAGAAAAATTAAGATTTATTTATTGAACTGATTCTAAATCTAGTAGCTTAAAGAAACAAATCATAATATACAAGGTATACAATTAATTATGTGATGATTATATGTTTTTATTATTATGTACACACTTCACATGTAATATTGCTAAATTTTTGTCCTATTACATGATTTTCAAATAATATTTGAAAGATATGTCTTTTCAGAAAGTAAAAAAATAAGAATCAAACCGTTATTGTATTTTGTATTAGGTCAAAAGGACCAAACCCATAAAAAAATATAAATATATTGAATATGAACCACCTTTACTAAAATAAATCATTTTTAAAAAATAAAAAATAATTTGTAAAACATTATTATTTTATTTAAATGGTGTAAGCAAAATTTAATAGTTATATTTGTAAATTTAAAACATTTTATTTTGTAATTTCAGCATATTTTAACATTTAGAGAATTATCTAAAAAGAAATTATAATTATTTTGTCAGAGAAAAATAATTGTACTATAAAGAAATATAATATAAATTGTTCACTAATTTTTTTGAAACATTTAGATATTTATTTATTATCTATGCTAATGATTTTTAATAGAATTCTAAATTAATAATCTTAGTTACTCAATCCTCTCGGATTGTAATATGCAAAATTTTATCAAACTGTTTATTATTAATAAAATAATAAAATTTTATTAAAAATTACCAAATCAAAACAGATTCACCTCAAACATAACAAATAATTTATATATTAAAAATATGATTTAACATATTTTACCTATAAATTTTAATTATAATTATTAAGTCTAGAATAATTTATATCTTTAAAAACAAAATATAACTATTAGTTTATAACGTAAATTATTTATGAATTGTTTTACTTCATGATCAGAGAGCTTTTCAACGGTTAATTTTTCCAAATCTTCTTTAGATAGCCATTGACTTCCTAATGATGTTCTATAAACAAATATAAGTTTTTAAAATAAATTAAATATTAGAACTGAATAATATACAATTGAACATACAGTTTTTTATCTGGATCTGGAAGTATATTGTTTTTTCTCAAGCTATCTTCAAACTTATTTAATTCCGATAATTTAGTAGCAATATTCTATAACAAAAAAAAAAAAAATAAATGAATTATAATTATAAGGATACCTCTTTTATTTTACAAATTTGATTAGTATATAAACAAAAATATTTGCTATGTTTTTTTAGATATTTTTGACAAAAGTTAAAATGATTAAATATTATGCCTCAAAATCTAGACATATATAAGTTATTTTCTGCATATTATTTGTTGTTTTTTTTTTTTATTTTTGCAAAAATAAATTTTTATATCACATTTGTTCATGAAAATTTAGTAACCTTATATTAAAAAGTGTGCGTGTATTTAAAAATTAATTATATGACTTACGTGTAAAATTAGATAAAAATTTGGTTTTCCTGTATAAAAAAAAACATGAAATGGTCGTCCAGACTCATCAAACTCTGCATCTTTTTTAGGTGGAAATACTTCACTTGGAGGTTTCATTAAAGGTCTTGCTTTTGGGTCATATAAGCCGGAAGGGAATAAATATTCAATAGCCACCTAAAATTAATAATAACATAAATACAGTTGGTAAATATTAAGATTATTTTTAAATAATTTGATTTAATTTTTTTATTTTAAAATTATACATTAAATTTAAGTATTAATAATTAGTTTATCCATAATTTTATTTCAGGGAGGAGACTAGTAAAAATATTGATTACTGTATACGTATTTTATACATTAATTAATAATAAGTTCATATTTTTTAATTACCAGATAATAACAAAAATTAATAATTTAATCAAGATTCTAATTTAAAATCACGTGTGGCATTATATGTTTTTATACTTGACACCATATTATTATGTTGGTTAGTGGTATTAAATATGTAAAATAACAATAGGAAACAATATTTTATGATAAATATTTTGAATTTATTTGTATATTTATTTTTGTTTCTTTAAATTAAAAGATTTGATCTTGATAAAAATAGTTTCAGATTTATTTTAAGTATTTATTGTTTTGGTAAACCATAATTTAATTTAATTTTTATATGTAGAAAAAACTGAAAATGTATGCTTTTGAAATTAACAAAATTTGTGTTATTATACATTCCATTCTATACTTTCAAAAGTAAAATAAATTTAATTATGGTTATAATATAAGTTATCAAAAAAAAAACACATGATTTTCTAAATCTAATATAACTTAAATTGAATAACACTACATGAAAGAGTCAACAATATCACTCTAAAATTATATCACACAATTTTTGTAACATCCTTAATATCTCTATCATAAATATACCACTAGATCATCATATCATAATATTCAAAAATAGTTTTGTACTGTTGTGAAGATTATTTAATTTTGCATTAGAAAATCTTAATAGAAAATCACTTGTCTACTTATCTAAAATAAACTGTTTTAAATTTTGTAATAAAACTTTCATTCAAATTATAAAATAGAATTTAACTTAATTATATCTAAAACACCTAAATACCTATTAACCTTTTATATCTATCAATAATTTTTTTTTTTTTATTTTTTTTTTTTAGTAATACAATATACATGAAAATATTTTAAGCTTTAAATTATATTAAAGTTAGGCCTTATAGATATATTATTGTATTCTATTTGACTAAAAATTAAATCAATATTTATAAAATTATCTTGTAAATCAAATATAACAATAAACTAACATCAATATCTGTTTGAGTAAATGTTTCTGGATCAACACCCATCATGTTAGCTAAATGACGTTTTCCAACATTGTATTCATGTGTTTGCTGTTCCATAAAGTTATCTGAAATATTATGTAATATAAATTTATCTTATGTTATAGAAAACAATAATTTTATACATAAATTAAGAAGTGTTTATAATATATTTTTAAAAATATTTGGATAACAAATATAAACATTTTTATTATAACACAATAACTAGAAATAATTTAATAAACTATGATAATTTTAAAATTTTAAATATTCATTAGGCAGCAGGTTTATTCATTGGATAATTCATTATTATA